TTTTAACCACCACAGAGCGGGGAAAACAAACTCCCCACATTAACGCTGCTTGGCTGTTAAACTGAGGATTCAAATCCTGACATCCTCGTTCCTGCTAGTAATTAGGCGTGCGTGTCATTTTATGCTCTCGGTTACTTGGAAAGTGGGGTCACCTTTCACAGAGCCAGACCGTCAGTCACCACCACATGAAGCCCTGCCTCCGGCTTTACACCTGTTGTCTGCTGGGAGACACAGAAAAAGTGTGAGCAGTGCTAGCAGGCCGGGCCCTGCACCCTGATGGGGATATCTGATCCAGGGGTGGCCAACAGCTGCAAAGTGCTGTCAGCACTGTGACACCAATCACCCCTTTAGATCTTGCTTGCCCATGATGTGCTATGACTGGAATTTGGCAGAAAACAAAATGTGTGAGGAAACTAAATTTGAAACTTCTGCGAATGCAGCGTGAGAAGATGAATTACTCAACCCTCTGTAAAAAACAAAACAAACATGGTCACCTTGCACATGGTTTACTCCCTTAAATACTAAATTACTCCTGAAAAAGCAGCTGCAGACTCATGCACATAAGTCACCATGGGGCGGTGGTGGTTGTGGTGGGTGGGGGATGTGCAGTGAATTTAATGGGGGGGATAAAAATCAAGATATGAGCTACAGTTGCAGCTATTCACTCCCTGATGACACTGGTGATATATTTCAGAGCTGATGAGAAAAACAACTTTATTTCAAGTCTCGCCACAAAAAAACAAGAAGAAAAAAAAATGCTTGCTGTAGTAATGAGGAGAAATGGCAGGGTTAACGCCCACCTTGCAGATTGTGCACTGGGCCAGTTGTCTCACTGTTGAATGATTTCAATTCTGCAACTGAGTAATCTGTGACTGAATAATGCTGGCAGCGCTCCAGCGCAGCTAAATTGAAAAACTTGGGAGTAATTTGGCCCGTGATGAGAAAGAGATATCTACACTGCTGAGTTTCTACGCTGGATTTGTGTTGTTTTATTCATGCTCGAACGCTGATAAAGAGCCAACTGTAAATAAAGGAAGGGGCGCTGAGTGGACTGAAGCTGTTGCAGACAGTTTTCATTTCTGCACCAGTGAGATGTATTCTTATTTGTTTGGTGAGATTTGAAGGTGATATTTCCCCTTCTTTGCCTTCTTGCTAAAGGTTAGATGAGAAGATTAAATGTGTAGCTGAGGTATCAGCTTAGCATGAAAACAGGAAACAGC